GAAGAATTCTATTCAACACCTCTGTCTTTAAGTACAAAGCTGTAGGCTGTAGCAGCTTTAGGAAACATAAGTATCCTTTTTTCTGCTGCACAGTATCTGTGTGTGAAATTCTCTAAAGGGGTTTAAGTATTTACCCTGAACACTATCAGACAGTTTCTAAAATTTTCCTTATCCTGTTGCAGAAACACTTCAAAGAGAATCATAAACACAGTCTTTTGTGCTTTCAGCACACACGTTGTTTTGGAAGCTTAAGTCTGAATTCCCTCAGAATTGTAAATAATTTTTTTCTGAAAGATGTGCAATATAACTTTTTTTTTTCTTTTTACAGATTGTCAGTGATTCTACTACAGACAATGCTGAATCCTTTCCCCTATTTGTGACAGCTAAAAATATTGGGGTCAAGGAAATTAGTGCCAGAAAAAGAAAAAAAAGGAAAAATAAGTCTTCAGGATCAGGTTTCGTTGTTGTTGTTGTTGTTTAAGATAAAAGGCACATTTCCAGAAACATCTGACTCCCAGTGTTCACAAAATATAACCTGCCAAAATACATTTATTTAAAGGATCTGGCCTAAACAGATAAGGAGAGCCCCAAAAGACAAGAAATATGGCTAAAATTTGGGTCTTTGAGCTGCCATGTTGTACCCACATTTCACAGCTCATTAGGCAAATACGATATTGCCAAATGGCCCTCCAAAAAAGTGTGACACTGCAATATCTAAGTACAATGGGAAAACTAAAAGACAAATTAAAATAATACCTCAGAGTTCCTTGAATTTTGGCTGACAAGGTCAAACCAATTGAAATGTCAGTTAAGTAGCTATGCATTTTCTGAAAGAAGCTAAACAACCAACCAGCCTGTTTGTGATCCCATTATCTATTTTTTTAAAAATAATTGGTTAGTTGTTTAAAGTGCCAAAGTCTACAAAAGCTGGGAGAATTCCTTGTAAAAGCATATTTTGTCTTAAAGCTTTTCATGGTTATTCGGGAACTGAAATACTTTCGATTTAAATACATATTTAAACCCTTGCTTTAATTTGGAAAAAAAAATGGCTCTGGGCTGAGATTTTGTAGCTCAAGTTTCAGCCTAGACTCAATTCTAACTGTCAGGCTGTAAGCCCCTGACAATAGTGGCTTACAGCTGAAACTATGACATACTTCATATGTAGCAATAGTAGCAAATAATAAAATAGTACTCAAAAAGGAAAGAAAAATAATTTCACAAGAAAACAGCCTTGCTCTCTGATTTCAATTCAGTTGTATAAAGTGATAAAAGCATGTTGTTGAGAATAACAGTAGTAATAACATGAATAAATATAGTTCTTAAAAAAGTTTTACAAATCAAGGTGAAAGTTGTGCAGAAAGACACCAGTTTGCATAAAATGCCACCTTGGTCATTGTCACTACACAGAATGTAGATGCTTCTGCTTTTACACTACATTTACAAATTAAAAGGTGTGCTGCATTTCATTATCATCAGCTCTATTTTAAGATGCCGGAAAGTGAAACAAATGGTGTAACAATTACTTGTGTTTCAGTTATACCATTAAGAAATCACTACCTTGAGATCTATGTTTCATTCCTTTAAGTAGACCTTTTACTGTAGGCAAACAGTTGTGCTGTTACATGCAACTCAAAATAACTCACGCTTTTCTCTACATTTCAGTTCTACAATTTTTTTTTGTCTTGCCAAATTCTTGCATAAATAGGTGGGATTAAATGGAGCCTAGCCTGCCTAGCATAATTATATATGTTGTGATTTTATACTGCAATGAAACTGATACATTTTAATAATGCCAGTCTTGGCTCTTACCCACTAAAGTCAATAAAGGTTATTAAGGCCAACTGCCATATAAATACATTGCTACATTGCTAAATGGACTGTCAAAGCAGGAAATACAATTCACACCATATAGCACTGCAAGGGTCCTTTTTTTTTTTAAGGAATACTAGATTTGTTAAAAAAAGCCTTTAAAAATTCAATATGTAACTAGTGTAACCATACACGTTTACTTTTCATTCCACAAACAAAAACCATTTCACTGATTTACATTTTACTTTCCTAACATGAATCAACCTAAAACAAAATAAACAAACAAAAAGACTGTAGGACTTCTGCAGTTCTTACAGATATGGTATGGTGGTTAAAGATTTTCATAGCTAAAATAAATGTCAGATTGCAAGGTTTGCATGATATCAGACCCTGAGAGACAAATTGTCTCTCCACTGAATCTCAGAACAGCTACAGCAAGAGTTGCTCACATCACATGAGATTTCAGCTTTTCAGACTTCTCTTTACCCAGAAAGCAAAGCTTGTACAGTCTTTTTTTCAAATGGTAACTCTCCCTTTGAATTCAGCAAGCATTTATCCTGATGTTGCAGGTGATAACGTGTTAATCTTGGATGACTTTTAAAAAACCCCTCTCAAACATATGAATAGCCTTCATATTTTCAAGGGAGGGGGGGAAAAAAAAGAGAAGATTGGTTAAACTGCTTTGGATTTAATGGCTCATAAATTCATGAGGTAATATTGTGGGAAATGTGATGTTTTATCAGAATGTCATTCAAATGAAAGGTTTAACATTTACATCACAAGATCGAGCTCTAAGTAAAACTATCCTCAGGGAAAGAAATGCCAGGAATAAACATTATGATAAAATTGTGTGCTTGCTATAATGTACAAAAATATTAAATAAAGCCCACAGGTCTGAAGACACTGGGCTAAACTTCCTGCAATATCTTATTCTGATGTGACAGAGGAGTAATTACAATTAGCAGCATCAGAGATAATTTTGGAAACTTTCTTTCCTTCTTTATAGCTGCTTTACTAAACAAGAGGGAAAACTAAAAAAAAAAAGGCATACTGGGACCTCAAGACTGAATTTTGTATCACTCTAGACACACATATAAGAAAATTAAGTGAAGAATTGTTCAGCTCGCACACAAAAGAAAAATACAGTGCTTAAATATTTTCTTTTAAGAAATAATTCCTTTTAACCAGAAAACTTCTTCCAAAACTAGATCAACAATTCTAAGACATTTTTACTTTTAGCATATTACATGATTCATTTTTTTTAACAATCATCCAGCTAAAATTATAAATTTGGAAAAAAAACATCAACTGCAGACGACTGGGTACCTTCAAAAATACCCTTTTGATTTAACTTAGCTGTGGAAGCTAAGCATGCACCAAAACACTGCACTTTTTATGTTAAATTGCTGTTGAATTTGTTAACCCGCAATTGATTTCCTGTGTTATGGAATCTTAGAGATTACAGCTAACTTGAAGCAACAGGGATAATTCTTGATGTTAATGCCACATTTCGATGTATTTTTATTCAGGCTGTTCCTGCTGCTGCATTGAAACTGCGGCTCAACATTGTCCCCTACTGTCACCTTGTGGAACACCACAGGACAAAATGTAGGTTAAATCCAAAAAAACCCAGCCCATCTCCAAGTCCCAAATACAGTAAGCATCAAATTTACTTAGAGACTCAACAAAACAGACATTCTCAATTAACATTCTCTTCTGTCTCCTTCAATAGCTAAAATTAATTGTGAGTAATATGTTAAAAGTCATAAAACATTAAAGCAATTTTTAAAATTTAAATTAGAAGCAGCTTCTGTTTTGGCCCAAACTTCAGTTTGCTGATAAATATCATCCTGAGGCCTGTTGAAAGGAGATACACTGACGCCACCATGTTTCTAATTAGAGACACCTGGCAATGTCACACCAATTGCAGAAAACCTAACCCCTGAGAGCTCCAGAGTTTGCTGTTTTTCCATGTTCTCAACACACAATGCATATAAAATATCAAACATTCTTGTCTCTACCTCATCTAAGCCTGTGTTACAAGTAAGTTGTCATTTGAAAGAAAAACAAACTAAAAGATTTTTTTAAATTAGAAAGGTCATTCAAGACTGTGAGCACAAAAGAACACAAAAATGAGAGGAAAAAAACCTACATAAACAAGTTATAAATACTTTTTCTCCTTTTGTAGGAAAATTCAGTGTTCACTGTTTCCCTGTGACAATGGATTTCACAATTGAAAGTTCCACTTTTCCAGACATTTTTCCACATCTGGAACGTGCCACTGCTGGAGAAGCTTACAATACATTTGAGCAGCTTAGTGAGTCACAACATTTCCCTTGAGACTCAAGATTATGGTCTTGTTGCACCACATCTCCAGAGATTCAAACACACCCCTGCTTGGCATCCTCAGCAATATTACAAACTTTTCCAAGTCCACTACAGGCAAATTGAGCCTTTATGCTGTGACCAGCAGAAGTGACCGAGAAGCAACTTCCTGACAAAAACATGGAGATGAGCAGGAGACATCTGCCCATATAGTTCCTTCTGAGCACAAATCCAGCAGCAGACAACTGCTCCCAGAACTCTGACAGCACAGTGTCCCAACTGAATCTCTACCTAGACAGCAGCAGCAGCTGTCCAAACAGGCAATGCTGGCACTGAGTCCCTGTTCAAGGAAAGCAGGATGTACATTCAAGTACACAGGAACCATTATTACAATTATTCTTAAAACTACTTTCCTCTTGTTGGTTCTAGCTGTGGTGGAAGTGTGCAGGTACAGACCTCCAGATGACCAATCCTGTTCTTAACTTTCCTCTGATGCATTTGCCATTGCTGTCATTGGCAGAGTTGTCTATCTGGGTGTCGCACAAAGAAGTAGACAATGCAGTTTCATGTACCAATTTGTGTGATGCAATATATGACTGTCAGCTTATGAGACTGTCAAACCTTAAAAACAAGTAAAGTCAGGAAATAACTAAAATCTTGGGGGGTTGGATTTGATTTTGTTCACATTCTTTCTGGCTATTGGGGCATAAAAGTGAGAGGAGACAGTATAAGGCTGACAATGATTCTGTTTCTCATATGTTCTGAATGAAATTTAAAACCCATTACTACAGTACAATTAAAAACATAATTGTGAGTGCTCTCAGAATGAAGCCCTAGAGGCTTTAGACTTTAAAACTAGTACTTACCATAATCTCCATTTTTCTCCAAAATTCTTCCAGTTTAGCCATAGGCTTAAGCCACCAATCAGTGCACTTCAAATACCTCTTGCCTTGGAACCAAAACTGCCTAAGCCACTCAAATTCAACCTGCAAGATAAAAACATATGGCAGCATAAACATCTACGTTCATTATCTGAGGCAGGAATGGGGTAGTGCATGAATCCAGCTATACCTGAACAATCCCATAGAAAAGGAAACAGTCACCAAAGTACTCATTTCTAAACACATCCTTACACCCAGCTGTTTGTTCTACTTCTATTTCATGCCAATTTGTGACCTGAGCTACTCTCTTCAAACCCAGAGAATTGCAGACCCCAACTTTTTTTTTCACATGTGGTACACGTACAACAAACATTCAGGTTTCCTCACAATTCAGTCGAATAGGTACCAACTCTGGGTCATTGTGATTAATACTGGGTATTTCAAAATGTTTCCCTCATAGAAGACTGAAAAAACTTGCAGTGATAACATTGCTAGAATGCAGCCCACTCAATTGCTATGGAACAAGAGGGTGGAACTACAAGGAATCATAGTCTTTCATCCTTTACCAAACAGCCCATTTACCAGAGAAGACACTTTTCTTTAATAGTAATCCGTAGTTCTGGCCTTTAGAATTCCATATATATCTTTGTTGTGGTAGTTATGTTTCACACTAAGTTCAAAGATGCTTTAATCATTATTTGTACCACAAATCCCCGCTCAATTCCAAAGATGCAAATAAAGACAACTTACCAAGGTGAAAGAATAAAGAAAAGTGGCCAAAGCTGTCACCTAAGACTTCCTTTCCTGCAGGGGTGAACTGAACTGCTATAGAAATCTTAAAGTATCCCAGTTAACATTAACTAAAGGTTTGGTCAATAAATTAAAGTTTACAATAAAAGATACTTAAATTTCCAGTATATAAAAATAATATTAAAGCAAATTTATTGGTAAAATATAACATGATTAGCTGGCAGACACAGACCTTAGAATGTTTTTAAAAAAACCTGACTGTTAGCCAGTGACTCTTTAGCATAGAAGTTTGATGACATCCTTCCTAAAAAATGCTGAAGGAAACTTTGCTTCCTCTACAATATTAACGAGGTATGAAGGATCAAGTTATGGTTTGTGAAGAAAAAAAAAAAAGAAAATCAGTATATACCATTTTAGGAAGGCTGAGCATATCAATATTCAGCTAGAATTTTAAGAACTCAATATTTCTTTTTCTCCTCTCCCCACTTCTTTTTGAGTTTTTTGGCCTCTACCACATGATGTCTGGCAAACAGGTTTCATTAAATTAATCACACGGCCATTAATCAATGAAAAAAAATTCTTTTTATTAAAATCAATGTTAAAATATGATTCATCATGAATCTATTTCAGTCAATCTGATTTCTGACTAGTCATATTGATTTGTTACATTAATCTATGCAATTTCAGTCTAAGTCTGGCATATGGGCCAAAATTGATCCTATACAACATATACAATTTGACACAGGAGAGCTGCTTTTTAGGTGTAAGACATAAAGTTTAGCAACAAGCTAATTCATTTTCTGCAGGATTAGCTGGTCTCATCAGAGGTCAGTGAACCTAATTGCAAAAGCAGCTGTTTAATGATGTGGACTGACATCTACTACAGCTATCAAACTCAAGTCCACACTCATCTCACAGCATCTCTGTTAAGCTCTAAACTGAGTTAATAAAATGGGGTTTGGGGAGAAAAACAGTGTTTCACCCACCAACTATCTCCTCTGAGCAGCTAACTGTTGATTCTGAGAAAGAAAATCATCTTGATGAGGCAAGGGTGACAGGATTTCTCTATCCTTGTTTCAGATATATCCAAACATAAATACTTAAATTTGCTAAAATCACAAAATAAAAAAGACATCAAACTATTAGAGAGCATTCAGAGGAGGGCCACAAGGATGAAGGGGAAGCCTTATGAGGAGTAGCTGAGGTCACCTGGTCTGTTCAGTCTGGAGAAGAGGAGACTGAGGCCAGACCTCACTGCAGTTACAACTTCCTCACAAGGGGCAGTGGACGGGCAGGTATCAATCTCTTCACTCTTGTGACCAGTGACAGGACTCGAGGAAATGGCATGAAACTGAGTCAGGGGAGGTTTAGGTTGGATATCAGGGAAAAGTTTTTCACCCAGAGGGCACTGGAAAAGGCTCCCCCTGGAAGTGGCCACAGCACCAAGCCTGGCAGAGTTCAAGCATCTGGACAATTCTCTCAGGCACATGGTGTGAGTCTTGGAGTGTCCTGTGCAGGGCCAGGAGTTGGACTCGATGACCCTGATGGGTCCCTTCCAACTCAGCATATTCCATGATTCTATGATGAAAACCTCCAGAGATTCTTGCTATGCTAAGATTGCTTGGTATTTTTAATTAACATATAAACACCTTTTACACCACATCCATGTTTTAACAACAAAATGCTATCTGCTTTCCAAGCTGTATGTCCTCTTGCTTTCAACTGTGCTCTCTTCAGTAACATCTTTTTCTGTAGCAGGAAGGCACTCTTCTTGGCTTGTCTCCTTCCACAAACAGGAGGAGCTGTGCCACAAAAAAACCCTCATGACACTAAATACTGGAGAGACACAAAAAGCTCAATTCTAGCCTTAATGGAACTGAAGTTACAGAATATTCATCTTCTGTGACAAAACTATCAGGTTAACAGCTCTTGCCAAGGATTTTGTCAAAGAGTTTTAATTTGGAGTCTTACATACATCAGAGCTAACTTTAGGCATCATTAGAAAGCATTTTACATGACCAAACAGGACAAAGCTTAAACATATTCACATATAAAAATATACAGGCTGAGTGTCTGAGGAATAAATTTCATCTCCTAATTGATTTTCACTTAGGATTTACATCTGTGCAAGTAAGCTCAGAATCAGGCCTCATATGTCTAATCTCAACATATTTTCAAGTTGTCCTTTAAACAATGATTAAAGGCCAATTTTAGGCTATTGTCAACATTGGGTAGTAAAAGGCTGACAGTAGCATTTGGCATTTTGTGAGGCAGTGCTCCTCAGTCAATAATTTAGAAGTACTGGTTATTAAATGCCTTGCATGTAGGTGATCTATATTTCTCTCTGCCAGACTAGTCAGCCACCAACCATACCATCAGCTCACCGTGATGTGCTAAAACATATTAACCTTCCTCTGCCTGCATACACCACTACCCTTTCTCATCAGTGGCCTCAGTGTCTAACACCACATACCTTCAACTCACCTAGTCCAGACTTCTCTACATCCCTGTGCATTCACCAGCTTTACCTACTGCTGCCATAAAAACAGATTTGCTGTAGGAAAAAGGTGACTGTACCTCACAAGCAGCAGGACAACCCATTCAGTCTTAGTTCTAGTCATGGTAATCAGGATCTGATAATTACAGCTGAGCAAATATCCTGATGAGAAAAAAAGTCTATCTTTCAAACTTGAGTACTTCCTTTGAAACCTGCCATATTTTTAGCACAATCCCTAGACACTAAAAAAAAAATTCCTATAGTGTTTTACTTCACTGAGAATATCCAATTATTAGTTTGGTGTTGGCAAACAAACAAGCCTTGAAAGTACCTCACAGCAACATGAACTATTAGCAGATTTTGCATTAGTCAGAGCAAGAAAAGCAAATTTTCTTTGAAATGTGAAGAATGGGAGGGTGAAGATCTTTTCTGCAGCTTTATTTTCACATATGAGCATTTACATCACCTGTTCAGCAGTGTTTTGTTACTTTAAAAAGCAATTGCCAGTGGTTTTCCCCAGGTCCCCTGTAGCTCTGTTTGGGATGTACTCAGCAGCTATATGTATTTTGGAAAGCCAAGTGTGATTCAGTAGGAGCAAGAGGTTCCTGTTCAGGGAATTCGGCAAGATCATTTCTTTTGCATAAATTATTACTGGCCAAACAGCGATCTGATTGTGACTGGATGTGAGTTTTTAGGCTATTGTAGTCCACAGCTGTAAGTTAACTACATCTGTTCACCCTGCTACACCCCTGCCACTGAAGTATTTGTTCAGACTGCAAGCCCACAAGCTACTCAGACAAGCAGCACGTGAACACCCTTAATTAAGGCTATCTTTACTTACAACTACAAAGTGCATACTGGGACCAAAGTGACTCACACATCTAACAAACAGCACATACCTTGCAATTACTCAGATATTCCTTTGAAGGCTGTTTTACTGAGGGAGACCATGACAACAAAGCTAGGTCTAAAGAAATATTAAACTTCCACCTGGCTGCCCACTAGAGATGCTAAAAACCTCCTCAGGTTAGAATCCTACTTTTTCAACAGGAAGACATCTCAAGACATCCAAGACAGAGCCCCGACAAATGAACTCTGGGAAATCTAATATCAAGTAAAGACATCCCCCAGACACTCACCCATACTTCTCTTAGAGGTTTCTCTACCCACCATGAAAGTGGAAAAAAAACCCCTAAGTCTCCACCTATGCTTCAGATCCTCAGTTCAAATGCACTTAATCAGCACAGCAAGTCAATTTTCCTGCCCAGGAGTACAACAGTGAAGGCACAGAATCATACTTCATTTTTTGAGACTTGCTCTTAGGCTTTTTCCCTCTAGTACACACTGATAATTCATCCAGGCCTCATTTGGCAGAGCAGTTAATTTCAGAACAGACTGGGAATCTCTGCTAAACTACTATATTTTACCTTGGTACTGTGATGGTTCTGTTCTGGTTAATGTTCTCTGATGACTTCGGAGGTACCAGCAAGAGGGGTAAAAATAAATGAACCCATAGTATTTCAAGAAGCAAAAGAATCAATAACAATGGCTGCATCTAGTTATCAGAGTTAAACTGAAGAACTTCAGTTATGACAATATTTGAAAATAAAATACATCAGTATCACCACTTTCAGAGATGGGAATACTCTCATTTCAAGCTCATGATTTCTGGTCCAGAGGAAGAAAAAAAAGTTACAAGGAGGTTTAGAACTAGTACAGAAAGCTGTATACCAGAAATACACAAGCAAGATTGGGAAATTGGGTGGCACTTCTCCATCAATACTATGTTGGGCTTTTTGTGCTATTTAGATTTTGCATTAAAAAATACTAAAAAATTAAGGGAGTGAAATACAAGGCTCGTTTTCACCAGTCAGCAGGTTGATTATTTAAAGAAACAAAACAGGTTCTTGTTTTTCACCTGCATGAGAAAGTTTGAACCTAAAATCTGTATTAGTGCCTGAAAAGACAAAATTTTTTCACACAGAATAAAAGAAGGTAGGAAGATTTTAGATGCAAGGAAAGTTCCATTAGCTTCACAGGTCTGTATGTTTTCACTTCACTGATGTTTTAAAAAGAAATATGCATTTACCAGAGATAAGCCACTAGAACTTTTGTGTACTTGTACAGTAATAAATGAAATTTAAGTGGCACTCTAACATACAGAATTTACCCTTCAACCAAAGAGGTGACCTTGGGATAAAAGAATAAACAAAAAGAACAGAAAAAAATTAGTATTCTCTTTTCAAATTAAATATAGATCCAACGTGTCTCCTAAGTCTAAGTGCACAATATGTACAAGTTAAACAAAGGTTGCTGTTACAGTATATCCCATATGTGTAACAGGAAACATCCCTGTATGTCACACAGCAAAATTATTCAGGTGACTGCAAACACCAGGGGCTAGTCTCTCACCTGATGTAAACAGCACATGGCTTTGATGTTAAAGGACCCGTGCAAATTTACACCAGCTGTGCATGTGGCCCTTGCTGTGCAAACCACATATGCGTGTAGTTTTATGGACTGAGCCTGATTAATGTTTTGTAAACCCCTCCATGCATCAGACTCCTTTAAATTGCCCTAGGAGCTGTTTTGGTAAAAGTCAAGGGTGCAAATCTTTTGCCAACAGTATACCCCATTTTACCAACTGTAAACACAATACAGATAAAAATGTGCTCTACAAAGTTTTTGTAACACTGCAGAATGAGAATTCCTCAGCAGACAGCAATTTAAACATTTCACACAAATTCTAATTTTAGTGAAAATGATCCATGTATGGCTTCTAATAGTGATCATATTTATCTCAACAGAAATACAGCACAGCTCTAAGCAAGAAAGTACTGCTAGTGCTTTCCTGTCAAAGTGCATTGTTATGCTTGCATATATTGTAGCACTAAATGACCTTCTTAAATATGTTCCTCACAATGTCTTCCACTGCATTTTCTTCAGAACACACTTTAAAGCCCACACTCACAATTGTGTTGCACCAGCCTTTGGCAAAAAGCTGGTTCAACAGGAACCAGGGAGGAACAGCTGTAACATTCTACCTGCTCTTTCCCTCTAATCCTCTAATTTCTTCTCTCTCTTCCTTTCAGTTAGAGAAGCACTAGAGTAGTTTGTTTGTTCACCACACTGCCAGATTTGGTGCAATATTTTATGAAACTTCTCTTACTTTACCAGCAGAGGGATCTTAAGAAGGAAAAATGAAAACTTCCATGATAATCCCCATTACTGTATCCAGGTAAAAAAGTCATAAAATCTACATTGTAAACTTGCACAAAGCAATGTAAGCAGCTGAACATGATTGTCATTAACTCCATGAAGAGACTGCACCACTCAGACCTGGCTGAAGCATTTTTGGTGTAGATCATCTCACCTCATTATGTATTTCTTCTACTTGCTTCACAACTGCAGCTTCCAGTGATTTCAAAGATAAAGCCATTGAATCAGAATCAGTCTGTAAATTCTGGAGTGCCAGTTCACATTGTCCAAATATGTATTCCAATGTTCCTCTAGAACACTATAAAGATACAACAAAAATTTATATATAGCCACTTCAGAAAATATGTACTTCTCAAATATATTGAACAATTTGCTTCTGAAATAACCAAAGCAGAACAGTAACAAAAGTGTAAAGCTTCTTGAATTGTATATATAGTTATTGATATAAATTATGCTGAAGCTAGCTTTTCTGCTTATTCAATCCTCAAATGCAGAGGACACAATTTAAAGCATACTCATGCCTAGTCTTGGTTGTTCTGATCTCCTAAAGGCCTTTTTTTCTGCCAGTGGACACTGCTGGTGTGTGTTTTGAGTATTTCTATCTCATCATGAATTTCACCTTTCAACTAGGACTGGAATATGAATACAGCAAAACAGCTGTAAAACATTTCAGATAAAAAGCAGTTTCCATATTTCATCAGCAATCCATGAGGTGTGATGTAGCACTTTCTGAATTCATATCTGACATGTCTATGTGGGAGTTTAGGCAAACTACCAATACAGAAGCAAGTGGGCCTCAGTACAAAGCTAATCAAAAAGCAGTTGTTCAAGAAAACAGTTTGAGTCATAAGCATAACATGAACCACAAATCTGGATAACACACCATGATTTTGCATATAAGGTACCAGAATATTAGTTTTACAAAGGACCAAACAGCAAAACATTTTTGATACTTACATCTGCCACTCGATGAGTTGAGCTGAATCGAGGTGATAAACCAGCCAGAACACAGTGCTGATGTGTCATATTGAGATCATCTAGGGACAGATTAGAAAACCTTAAGTACAGGAAAAAATTATACTTAATAGAAGTTAATCTGGTTGAATATGAATTAAGTACACTACTTTTTTCTCCAGTGCTTAGATAATTCAGTCACATCTTCCTAAATACTTCCACTACCCCTTTCAGTGTCCATTCAGTGTGGCATGTTTTATTTAGCTAACACAGAATTAGACATATTACATTTTGATTTGCACCTTTATTCAAACCCTTGGCAAATCTTTCACTGTAGAGTTCTGCCTTGGAATTGCTTCCAACTGCCTCTAATCCTTTATGAATCTTAGAAAGAAGCCTGTAATTTTAATTTAAGAGTTTACAATTCATCTAAAACTCTAATCGTACAAAAATAGTTGAAGCTTCATGGATTGCATGCCTCAGAGCACATTAAAAAATACATTTTAGGTCTTAAAAGATTACGGTAAAGATTTGCTTTCTTTTTCTACTAAATATATATTAACTGAGAAGAAAAATCACTCTTTGTTGAATTGGCCATTGTCCATTTGGCAGTAAAAGCCTTTTATTCAGATACAGAACACTATACCCAGATTACTGTTCTAGTTTTAGAGCCAAACCAAAGCTGTTACATTCTTCGGTCACCCGTGTCGGAACTACCATAGCGCTCTCGTGGGTTCTCTAAAACACAACACACGTGGAGGCAACATCAGTTTTAAATGACTAAGCACTGACTGGCGAGGTCTGGAAAACCAAAACGCTGCCTCTTCAGCATAATGCATCACGAAAAGTAGACGTATATAAAAGCAGACGTATATCTGTCCATCCTGCTTTGGAAAACTGCAGGCAGGCCAGTTGTCTGTTGGACAGTTCTCCTGAATTTGCGGTGAGGTCAGAGCCAACATGGTCTTTCCTGTCACAAAACACTGGGACCTTACCTTGCCACCACTTCTGGACAACTGTGGCAGGGATATCTCATTTTAATATCTGTTACAGAAACAAAAACTTATTTGAACTGTATAATGCATATGAGAAGTGACTTATTATTTTAAATTACCATTAACATCAACTTAGCAATGTATTTAGTAGTTTCAAGAATTGTCTCACAATCCTTTCTCTTTCTAAAAAAAATTCCACATGCATGCTTAAAAGATGCATATGCCAATTAACTAATTGCTAGATAAGAAAGAAGTTTTGAGAATTGGACTACAATTTTCTGCTTATATGACTGTTCCTCTCCCAAAGCTTTCCCACGGCTATGAAAAATGCTGTCGCTTGCACAGAATATTTTTCTGAAGTCTCATCAGGCTTTTTGAACGTTTATAAATTTTAAAACACTATGAATTTTCCTAATTTAAAATAGTAATTCCAGAGAACAATCAAGAAAAATTAATAAAGTCCAATACATGCTAGAATGCTATTTTGCTATTTTGCAAGGCCTCTGAAAAGTTGGTAACCAACACAGAAAAACCTAAGGGTAAGTAGAGGTTAAGGGACTTGCCAAAATTTGCATGGAAGTTCTGTACAGGAAGTGGGTTTACAGCTGAATCTAATGCCATAGATTTAACAGCTGACCACTCCTCTACTACTGGATGCAGACTATGATTCTCTGTGTGGGGCCTCCTTACCAGCAAAAATTCTCAGTGATTTTACTGCCATTTAGAGATAGCAGATACATTTTGGAATTTGGATGCTGCATATTCTATTTTAAATGGTGGAAGCAGGTTCACATTATAGATCTGTCTCTCCCTCCCCTGTACTGACATCTATCAGCCTGGTTTTCTTCTCAAAGATGTCCCTCCCAGAACAGAACCTCAGCACAGTCCTCTCTGCTGCTTCAAAGTACTGCCAGTTCCTTCCTTTTCTCTCAGTCCCTGATCCTGCTCTGTCCACACCTCCACTTTCTTCTAGACAGCTGAACTTCCTGGGCTCCACCAGCAGAAACACTGAAAGCACTGTGCTTACACAGCCCTTATCAAAAGAACAGGCTAATGGATATGTCTATACATTCAAATAACATACATACAGTTAACTCATTCTACTACTTAACTAATTATTAGAGCACCAGTGAGGTGAGGAGCCAAAGCACTCTGAAACAATGACTGTACACCCATGTCACTGCAGACTATTAAGTCATAACAAATACAAGGTAGAAGGAAAAAGAATTCTTAGCCAAACCTTACTTAAGGGAGTGGGGACTAAAGGTCCAAAACTTATTACTTGGAGGTAAAGTACTTCCCAGGAAAACACAAACCACAATGGAAAATGGTTCTCAGAATTATCAACAGGGGTTTATACAGTCTTTTCTATCTTCTCTCAACTGTTCTTCCTGAACTTTTTAGACATTTGCCTTTTCATCATCTATTTCATGAAGCAAATAAAAAGTACAGCGATGTTTAAACCACTGTCAAAAGTTTTAATATTCTAGCCACCACAAGTATCTACAAACAGAAGTGAAAGGGACTTTTGTTATTAGTTTTCTTAACTACCATTAACAAGTAAAGAATTTTCTTTTTAACCATGTTACAGTGCAATTTTCAAAGTACTAAAATGCTTTTCCACCATTTCCATTTTACTTGTATCCAACTGCACACAATGCTTTAACAGGACAAAATCTAACAAAACTAATTTTACTGCAGATGTATCAATAAAAAGACCAGGAAGGTATGTCTCCTTCCTAAGAAATTATGGGTCAGTGGAATATTCCTTTCATAACAGAAAGCTAGAAGGATGATCTTTCCCTAACTAAGAAATATTTTTAGTTTTTTGCACAAACAAAATACAATTAATTAAAAGCTAAATAGTAAATTTTAAAATTTAAAAATATGTGTCTGAGATTTGCCAACCTTCATGATCAACGTTTGGTAACGACAAATACATTCCTGAAGTTCTAAGTCTTAATAGTAAGGAATACACCATTTGGATTAAATGTGGACTCAAAAAAAAAAAAAAGGGAGAGGGGAGAGGTAAAAAACTCCAACACATTCAAGATGCTAGAGAGCAAAGAGGGTTCAAGTTAGTTTGTGAAAATAGCAGCAGATTAAATATCTAGAAATAGTTTAATGAGTCATTATATACATGTGGAAGCGCTTCCATTAAATACTTATCTTTAACCACAAGCCAACCTCTGCAATGTGTGCACCCTACTTCTGGTTGGTTAGGAAAATGATTTTTTGATGCTTCTCGAACTATAATTTGCTAGGGGTGGGAGTGGTATAAGATTCAAAGTTCATCTTCATGCTGTTTTAAAACCCTAACCTTCAAGCAAGAGCTTGATCTATGGGAAACAGCTGCAGAAAAGTAAATCTGCCTTTGAAAGAGTCCAGAATGTATTTTTGTTAGGTATGTTTTGAAGTCATGGTAGGAAAATTAGTGAAAATTGTAAATCTGCTTGCAAATCTGGTCATGTCTAACTCAAAGATTAGGGGAAAGATTCCAATTTAATAGTAGGACCATGACAACCCTAGTTAAGCATGCTCTAGGACAGAGCAGATGGGGCCCTTTGCTCACCTCCACGCGTTTTGGATTTATTGCATGCACCCAACACGTTTCATATTAGACACCCTTTGACTGTGTACTTGAGACAGCAGGGTTCAGTATGCACTTCCTCTGCAGACCAATATATTATTCTAAATTGAGCTAAAGTGTTTCCGTTTCATGAGTGATATAAAGTTCAGATTTGAGTTTTTAGGCAGCAGACTTGCAGTCATTCACCAGACTTTTTTTCTTATTATTACAGAAAGCCTTAAAAAAATTATTTTAAAAAATCTGTCTTACTGAAAGTAATTTTGAGTTTTGATTGGTTTTGCCTAAACCCCCCCATCCCTTATATTATTGTAACAGCTTAATGGAAGAATGGATTCGGTCACCTCATGTTTAGGATTAACATGCATTTAAATTTCAGCTCACGATTTCATCTGAAGAGGGCTGCTGAGAAGGCAGATGTCAATTTAAATTTTAAGACATTTTACTAAATTTCTACCCGGAATAACAAAATCCATTTTATAGAGCCAATGAAGAGGGGAACATAAACATTATTAAATGTCTACTAGAAATGCTAAAAAAACACCCCTGTTTTTCTTTGTTACTTTGCTATACCCATTGATCTGGATTTACAAGTTACTGTAATTGTACATTACTATTACCACACTTTTTTATATAAGATTTGTGTGTAGTACTCGGGGTATTACAGGTACAGGACTTGATAGGACCGGACTTTTAATTATAAGCAACATTTCAGCACTTTACAGCATCCATATAAAGCAGTAAGCACTGCACCATCTCAACAACTGGAAGAACAGACCTACAGAGTTACTAAGTCTTCTGTTAGAGTGGATGAGTCAATGGTAGTCAGAACCAATCCTACCAGTCCGATATATCAATCAGCCTCTGTACATCAACAGCTCCAGAAGCTGCAGTACTCTTAATGTTCTATTTTCTAGATGTCTTACTTACTGCTGCCACTGCTTTTTAAAATGCATTTTTTTAATGCCAGCAAGAAGACTCTGCTTACTGAAAATGAGGGTCTGGAATATATTGTGTACAAATGCACGAGAGAAAGGGATCTAAAATTTTCTTCTTTTATTGCCAAGGGATTTTTTTTTAAAAACAGAGCTTTCCTATTTTACCTTTTAGATGGCATCCTCAAGGTGCCTCCTCTTAAAAGTAATTTCAAAAAAATCTGAGCAGAAAAAAGTACACTAAAACAATATACGTCCACTTATACGTCCACATACGTCCACAATATACGTCTTTCACTTCAAGTGAAAATGATAAAGGCAGTTCTGCTGCACACAGTAACCTAATAAAAGGGCCATTTTGGAATACCCTCTTAGACTGTGTAGAATTTTTTTTTCAAGTAATTGAAAAGAAATACAAAGACTACGGAAACACAGAAGAGATTAACAAAACACCTGGCCTACAGAGCTCAAATCTGTAGCTCTTCACAAAGTATTAATAAGAAAGTGATTTACTCTTCATCTTCAAAGGAATGTTAAATATATCCTTTGTTTCCAATCTAAACAGGCTCACAATGTTACGTATTAAATAAACTAATTTTCTGAGCCACCCTTCATAGAGCATTCCTGATAGTACTTCAGTTACTGCATTTGAATTCCATTGGGGAAATAAAAAATGCCCTTATGATCTGGTAACTCAGTCAACTACAACCCACAGTATTTTTCAATCAAAATACTGAAGTTATACCCCCTCTTTTATTAATCACCTTCTTATTCTGTTGCCCAGCATAGCTGTGTATGCACAAACTTTCCAGTCAGGAAGGATTAGATAAGAAGTTTACTTGATGGCTTAGATGCTATTGCACAAAAATAGATTAACAATAGCCTAAGAATGTTTAGCTGCCACTTCACTCTCTCCTTCTGTATCCTCACAAATACAGAAAAGGGAGGTACATCCAGACCACCGTGCCAAAGGATCTCACATCTTAACACTTGATCTGTTCATGTCTGAACACGTTTAAGAGCACAGTCAGTACAGGGCTTTCACGCAAGATACCTCACTGATGACAGTGCACAAGATCTGATGAGGTAACTAAGAACACAGAATGGTATATATTTTTTAAGATGGCCAACAAATGTACTGCTTGTTGTAAGTAAACTGTTTTCATCTTTGTTGGAAGACGAAAGGGAAAGTTGAAAAGACTCTTCTGCTCATCAAGTTGGGAGTGACAGGTCATTCTAGGGACATTCCATGGAGTTTACCTTCCAAGGCACAAACACAAACAGGCAACAGTGCAAGTGCTCTCAGTCTTCAAAGGTGACATCTGTCAAGCCAAGACACTAACCAGGCAAACGTGATGTTGTCAAAAGCCTTGTTCTTGTTTTGTTTGATTTGTAACCAAATTTATTTAAACAAAAAGTTATAACCAAGAGAAACACAAGCCAAAAGAAAAAGCAACAGATTTTGTGTCAACAAACCTTAGGAGCAGTTCTCACTTCGTTTCTTTCCATGGAAAAACCTTAGTGCGTGAGCTCAGCTGCTCAAGTAAATTAACTCAATTTAATTTTCTTCTTTTAATCCTCTATGCTTGAGACACTGAGACTCTTAGAGTAAGGCAGCTCTGTTCATTATGATCTTAGTATAATCCCACTACTAGAAAATAGCATGTTTGAATATAGGCATGGAAAAGTGTAGCAGAAGGACAGAAGTGTCAGGTGTAAAACTGGTGACTAATAAAACATCCACAGATTGGCATAATGATTGAAACTTCAAGAACCATGGTACAAGAAAACTTTAAGACTGCTACATTCACAGCTTACATAATACAGGTGCCACTCTATAAACCACGCTGAAGGACAGAAATTTATTTGTTGAACATAACAGATGCAAATGCTCACAGTTACTCAGAAAAACTGCATTAAGAATACAAAAACCATCTAGAAATACAAGGATGGGACAGATACGGTGCAACTTCTCACAAGATCTGAGGAAATTCTGGTTATGGCCTGAAGCCTGTCTTCGACTAGTCTACTAATTCTGACTAAAAAACAGATAGAAAAGGCACAAAACCCCTATTTCTTTCTTAGTTGTGAAGTGAAAGAAACATTAATAAAAAAATTCCCTCAAAATACTCTGGAAGTAGGCAGGGAAGAAGGAATTTATTATATACCCTAGCCAGATTTCACATCTTTCTAAATAAAGCCCTAACTGAAAGGAAGGTGTGTTAACTTACTTAAATATAAATGTAATTTTCTCTACTGTCAACAGAAAGTTTAACTTCTTAGCACTTGAAAATTACCAAGCATCAAGTAGAAGTCTCCTTGGTGAAGTGGTATTGCTAATCCAGGTGTCTCAATGTCCCACGCTACCTTCAAGCCTACGTGCCAAACAGCTGGGTCTCTTCCTTTCAGTTCTTGTTCATTGCTTTCTCCCACACCTGAATCTTGAGAGAGAGAGAAAAACACCACAAACATGACAGACAGGGCAAGAATCATAAAATATAAAATCTTGTCTAATAATACAGATTTAAAGATATCCCATATTGGTACAATCTTAACAGGCTTAAAGATTCTATAACCTCCATTTGGTATAATCATCATCTCCAAATTCACAAGTATGCAATAGGTAAAAGTAAAAAAGAAAAAAGCCATATGAGATCAAGAATTTTTTTTGCAACCAGATTTACCAAGATGAAAACTTTAGGTTAACTAAAATGTAAAGGTAAATCAAGCCAAGGTTTGTAGTGGACTTGAGGTTTTCTGAAGTTCTCAAGCACATGTAAGAGGAGTTTTCATTAAGCTTCACTCAATTTAATTTGTTTCATTACTGAAACTATAAGCATAGAAGAAAAAAAACTAAAAATGCAGTAACACTGATATAGCAATAGATAACTTCTGAAAGAATTTCAAGTCATAAACTACCAAAGCATTTTATGAGCAATTTCATTTGTGTACATACTTGCAATTTCAGTAAATCATAAACTGAGACAAAGTAAGGTGAAATAATGGTTACAAAACACAGACTAGACCAAAGTTGAGCAAATCTTGGAATCATATCTGTCATTCTTTTCTCAAAATTATTAGTCAAACATGCTAGATAACATGTGCAATAGCCAATGAAGCTTCAATACATTTGTCACAACACTTTTCTTATCATTAGGCAACACGAACATGTTGAGCTTGGGGAAAAAATAATCCACTGCATAGAAACAGTATTTAGAGCTTAATCCCTCAGAACTATTTTCATAAGCTTACTTCACTGCAGTATAAATTGAAAGATACAGTCAGCACTTATAACAAGGTATTTGGGAGCTATGGTATAACAGTTTTAGGGCTAAAGTAACAGAGCATTTTGACAGGGAGGATGAAGTTTTAATAAGCAGTTGGCACAGAACTACAGTGAATGGTTAGAAGTGAACTATGTAACATGCCTAATTCTGGCTTACAAGTTAGTAACTGTGTGTGTCCATTTCACTGTCCACTTGAAATGTGCTTTCACGTAATAAGTTTTAAAACCTTTCCCTTCATTTAATTCTAGAAGAAAAATATTGAACACATATAGCTCTTACTAGAATAGGCACCCACAAAACGCGGCCTTGAACTCACACTTTCAAAATATTCATGTCACTCCTCTCACATGGTTACTACACTGCTTTTTTAATTGGGGGTTGCCCTTGGAAAATTATGACAATCTATTAGTTATTATGCCAATTAAATATTGTCTATATTCAGGAAGCAGAGAGCAAAAACCTTTTGAAGAGCCAATCTAAAAAGTTCTTAAGTTAAAAGTCTTACTGTAAGTTTAGTCCCCAAATTCCCTCCCTTCACTGCTGCAGCTCTCAGCCAACTGAAGCTTTGGCTTGGGAGCAAGTCTAGGCCCTTCTATCAAGGAGCACACAAATGAGAAAACAAGAGCTAGCAAATACTCAGAAAAATCAATACTAAACTCTTCAAGGGGCTTTCATGTTTTCTACCCTCTTCAGATAAATCGTAACTTAATTTAAGAAAAATGTTTTCTGAAAACTGCAAATAGGATGGCTTTCAAGGCATTTTTAATGCAATACATCATGGATATTATGAAAAGAAGTAACCTTTCTGGGTTAACTCTCTCTGTTATTCTGCTTTCCCATTCACTTTGGCAGCAGCACTGTTCACAATATGGCACCAATAAAATATAGAACTACAATCAGAGACAGCAATTTCAATCAAAGTTTCCTGGGGTCTCCTCATAAATCCAGCACCTTTGGAATGTGCTCGTTAAAATGACTTATTTTTTGCAGTTTGATAAATTTTTTATTGCTTAAGTACTGAGTTCAAATGCAGCTCACAGTCTCCTTTTCTCTATATTCTCAATTATTGCACCTTATAATTATCAGCAGCAATTGAAACTGATTGCTCCTACCATGTCATTTTGGTAACAAATGGAAGCAAGCTGCTACTTGCTTTTAAATGCACGCTACTCTGAAAGTGAGAGCAAGGGAAGAAAAGACACCTTAACATTTGTGGCATATCCCCAGGTAGCACTGACAAACTTTTACATAAAAACAAGTTGTTATTAAATTCTCTATGACACCTCAAGCATGACTGAATGCTGTATATTTATTGATATAATTACGGTTCCCATTTAAGTGAAAACATTTGGATGCATCTATATCATATGTATTTGACAGTAAATCATATGGATCTTGCACATACCCAGCACCTTAAGAACACAAGTTAATTTTGAAGTAAACCATACAGAAATGGTCAAATACAACAGTACTTAGTGGAAATACAACAAAACTATGTTCAAATTTGAATTCTGGTCAGTAAAGATTTATAGACTTTGGCCTGTAAAAAAACCTTTATGCAGGCATCCCAAATGAAATGGTGCAATCAGGTAACAAGCTCATCACAACATAACAACAATACCTCATCAAACCTGCAATTATGGTAGAACCATGAAGGAGAGAATGTAACTTCTACAGAAAACTGGCCACAACATTACACTTTTAACTAGGCAGCTCAAATTTCAGAGATGTTCCAGCTCTAAGAACTGACCTTATCACGTTTTGGTCACGGTTAGGTTCAGAACAACATGAAACTTATTTTCCTGGAACTAGTTTGGTTATTGTTCCATGGCACAGAAAGTGGTTTTGAAAGGTTTCTTTGTTATTTAGCACCAAAATCTGGAGAGTTTGAGATTTTTTTGACACTCTGAAACCTAAATGTTCTTTATTCAAGTCAAGCTGTAATCTTATGCATGATTTCTTAAGACAAGAGAATCACTGCCAACACATTGCCAAAAAAGGACTGAAAGCATCTCCTCTGTCATTAAATCCAACTGACCACTGTTACAGAGCTACAGAAAAAAAGGTTGGCTTTTTTTACAGATTTTTTGATTTTTCCAGAACTTAAAAGAATTTAGGCACATGTCCCTGAATTAATCAAATATGTAAATTATTGCTGTCTTTCAACAGCAATTTATATATGTTGTATGCAAGAAGTGGAAGAAGCAGAGCATGCTTTGCTTCTTAGCAGCTGGTGGAAAGAATAAATATCTGCCCAGAGTTATTTCTTCTACCTTATTACTTGAAAAGCCATAGCATAAGAAGTTAAACTGTACTAACATTTTAATTTTTTCTTGCAAATGACATTCACAAAACCAAAAATCCTAACATTTGCCAACAATGTTCTTATCAATTCATATTTGGAATATTGTGTTCAGCTTTATCAAGAACAAAAGCACTAAAATAAGAACAAAGAATATTCTGTCACCCCTTCATTCCTGAAGGAGAGGCTGTATTTGATCAAATCAGTGAGAACATGTTTAAAAGAACCCCCACAATCCACAACAGTCAATTCAAATGATGATTTCTCTTTAGATAACAGGGATTCAAATCTACTATTGTGAAAGTAATTGGATCATTAAAAATTTGTGATTCTCAGAATGTAATTCCAACTGGCCAGAAAGTTAGAGATATGACCATGCCACACAATTATTCATTTCTTAAGAAGTGATACATAATTTCCTAAATACCATTTCTGTTATTTCAACAAGCAATATTTCTATAATATTACTGACACTAGAAATCATTTAATATAATTGGTCTCATCCTGCACAGATGTCTACTCCATGACTTTTATCCATTAAGCAGTACATAAAGAGGGTTATTGGTCAACTACAAAGTTAGACTGACTTCAATTCCAAACAACTCTTGTAGTTTCAGGATTTTTTTTTCTAACATAGTGAGGAAACACACATCTGTAGTGAATCTCAATTATTTTTATTCACAATTCAATGAAACAGCCATCATTAGGTTTAGTGCTAGGATGCTGCTTCTAACACCACAGAGTGAAAAAATACAAAAGAGAAGTGTGCAAAAGAAACAAGCATAAAAGCTCCTTCAAGATCAGAATTCACTGCAACCAACTGTTTGTTAAACCTTTCAACATCACCTTGTCAACCACCAGTGCCAGTTGTTCCGAAGTTCAAGAGTTAAACAGCAAACAGGCCTTATAGACAAACTAGATATGGTAAAGAATCCAGAGAAAACTACTTATCCAACCTCCAACACAATCTGTGGGAAATCCAGATAACAGAAAGATGGACACACTTCAAGTGATCACATTCTTTTCCACCTCCTTTAAGTTAGTAACTGAAACAAGTCTCTACTTCAAAGAACATCTTTAGAACCAACTAGTGCTCTGCTAAGTAATAAAACTTCCTGCAAAACTTAAAATGACCTGAGGGAAAGCTGGTCATTAGGAAATTTTCATGGATAAAATCCAATTTTTGAAAATGCCCTTATTCTACTGGATTGCAATTCACTTTTATAACTGCGGCAGGAAATAAAAATGGGTTATTAGCTTACTATATTAAAATCCTGAATAAGTTTTTACCTTAATGCTCTCAGGTGATAGGATATTTGTAAGTTAATGTGTGTTTAAAAAAGCTGAATTAGTCGAAATTTGAAATTCCTGTTTCTTAGTAAATTCTGAAAGGTAAATTAATGCTGAATATTGTTAGTGACAGTATAACTGAACACACATTCAGTAACCTATTCGGTTCTGCATATGCACCATGACTGCCACTCATGCACTTTCATGCAGCACACACACTAAAAGGAAACCTCTCAAATTTTTATGAGGGTCTGTTCTTATCACTTGACAACCTATTCTTAGCCTAGTGTAACGCATAAAGCAAATATTATTCAGATGAGCATCAAGCAAAATGTTTACCTTGTTTTGTTGTTAGAAATGTAACTCATTTGAGGTTGCTTTGAAACAATTTGACAAAGGAAACAAGAAAATGATACCGATTAGAATATCAGCTTGTTCCAATATCTTTATGTTGGTGCCTAAATTTCTTTTCTGGCATATTAAAAACTGCTTCTACTCCAATTAACACTGATCAAAGTTTCAAACATTAAATTTTCATTATGGCATCAAACAGTAAAGAAGTGAACAAAAAAATAAGTGGTTTCAATTACAGCAGTATCTGTTTTAACACTATTTAATCAAATAAGTAGGTGCCTAACAATTAATGATATAAAAATGCAAATTAAAGTAAAAGAAAACCATATAACCTGAGCTGTGCATCTCTAAACAGTCTGACAAAGAGCTGCCATAACACAGTAAGACTGCCTGACTCCTAGGGCTCCTGCTGTTCAAAATTTGACAACCTGGGGATTCCGCACTGGCAGCAGGGTAGATCAACACTAGCCATGAAGCTCTGGAAGCCTGAGCTTCCACATGCTAAAGGCTGCCACAGATCCTCAGTGCTTGGAGTACCTCAGAGACCAGTGAGAATTTGAGGAATTGAGAGCTGACAAAAAAAATGGGCAAGACCTAGCAGAAAAGAGAATCAAGTTGGTTTCAACAAAAATAAACGTGCTTAATGTGCGTGTGCACTTCCCACAGAATCAGTGCTTTCTCCCAGAAAATTACTAATCTATCTAAGCTACATTTTCTAAGGAAAAATTGTTCCATCAAAAAAACTCTGACCATATCTACTCTTTTTATTACGTACTCTGTAATGATTCTGTGACAGTCATTATACATCACAGTGAGAACTCAGTGCTAACTCGACACTAAATGAATTAATGGCGTAAGTACTAATCAAAGATATTGGCAAAAAAAGTAAATATATTTATGGAAAATAATAAGAGAAGTCAAGACATGATTCTACACAGATGTCACAACAATTCTCAAAAAGATGTTGAGATTCCTCTTGCTTTACAGTTATGGAGAGCTCAGTAAGACATATGGGAAATACTGGAAGTCTCTGAACTGAAGAAACCACTGAAGTGATACGCAACTGGAAAGAATAATATTATAAACACTGATAAGCTTATAACTACAAGCATTGGAAACCTGTGAACAGAAAATCAGAAGATCAAAAAAAGACTATTTATTTCTCTACAATCAAGTAGACTGGCCCCTCCTCTTGGATGTGCTGGGCACAAAACTTCAGCACACACAAGTATTTACTGTCATTTCAATTACAAAGCCATGCTCATAAGCTATAAACAGGATGCATTTCCTCCAATTTACAAAGAAGCAGGTCATTGCTTCAGGGATATACAGTGACAACCCCTCCCTGCACACAGACAGATGAGTGAACTGTTTGCACACAAAGCAGGACATTTCTTCACCAGGCTCAGGAGCCACGCCAGGCACCTCAAACTCCCTCTCAGGTTCAAGAACCTAACCTGAGCCACGCTCAAGGGCCATAAGTGGAATTTAATCTTGTTCAGATCTGACTTCATAAATAATTTTCCTCCCAAAAAAACATCTCTTACACTGTCTCCAGTTACACTGAGGTTTTAATATTGCCACCTCCTGCCAAGGGACTTCTTTCCTCCCCCCACCCGCACCCCATATTGGAGCAAAACCAGAAAAAATTTAAGTTGTATTTTTTTTTTTTTTTTTTGTAAATCTAAATCAATTTATTCACTGGAAAGATCTTCGTTTCTTTGTTTTCATGTCTATTTTCAAACCCTCCAGAAAAAAATTACAAACTTTTAAATGGAAGTATATTTATGAAAAAATCTTGTATGTGGCAAAAACATTAACTGTGCATAGATATCAAAATAATTTTTAGTCTAAATGTATAAAATATGTCTTTATACCCCCATCAATCAAATCTTCCACAGAATTTACAGTGGTTTTAAAACACCATAATTTTTACCTATTTAACTTGCTGAATAAAAGAAACAAAATCAACTGACGAGTTATGGATAAACATAGCAGCTTTCATATTTGTTGACTTATAGCTCTCTTAACTTAAAGGGACTCACTTTTTTCCCCTCCATAAGCAAATTTTATGTTAAAGTAAAATGTTTTTAAGCATATTACAATAAATCCTCACACACAGTATTATTAAGTTTCTTTAACTTAAAATCTTACTGCAAAAATATTCATCTACAGTCTTACTGGGAAAAAAACAACGTATTTACTGGACATAAAATACCAATGCCTTTGACAAACAGGGCAGAAAAAAGTTTATGAAGAAAATTACACTTTTACTTGTCAGGAAATCTCTTTTATTCAGCTTGCTACACCAGTTGATGTTTTATGTCCAGGAAAAAGTAAATAATATGACTTCAGCTGTACATTAAGTAACAAAGTGACCCATAGTTTCAAAACTAATAACAAAACCAATAAGAGAATGCACATGAAAGTATAAACTATCATTTTTACATCAAAGCCTTTAGCCAAAACCTACCGAAGTCAACGTGAATTCTTGCCATGTTCTCAGGCAAACATCAAAGGATTTTTGGAATAACAAAAAATCCATTGTGAGTTATGAAGCATAATGGAGCATTTGCAAATTCAAATCAAGTGTCTAAATTCTAATCTTATGCCCTGCAAAACTGGGAGTCACTAAAAGAAATCCAAAGCCTGTCAGATAACAGTTCTTTTAACAGAAAATGTCCACCCTTCCCAACTACAGAAATGTTGGCAAGTCCCATAAAACATGCGTTAACACTACAGCATGCCTAGACAAAATGCATAACTTCAAAATAAATATAGCAATACTTCTATCCAAAACCAACTGAAAATGATCTTTCCAAAGAAAGAAGAGTAGTAAAAACAGCATAAAGTAGAAGCAAGTCTGTATATGACAAATAACACCATAAAAATGGTGATCTCAACTACACTGAAACATTTTACAGGACAGAAAACGTGCTCATGCACTAACCTGAAAAAGGAATTTGACAGATTTTGATTTCCTGGCTCTTAGTCAGGAAGTTAATTACACCAATTTTTAAAGCTACTTAGAGAACAACTGCTAAGCCAGTAAACACAGGTATATTTTGTACAGGTTTTAGTAAAAATAAAGATAAGGCTTAAACACAAAAGGTACCACAACGCATTCAGAAGCGCATGACAAGCCCAGACTGGCATGCAGGTGTGCTTATGCACATACACACAGGGAAAGAGAAAAGGGGTTCAGGGATTTAAGATAATTATACGACTGGTCAGCTCCCATCACCCACCTTCACAGCTGTAACTGTACACAGCAACCGTCGACCTTTCAACCAGATTCTCGTCGTGGTGCCAGCTCACTGCCATGTTCCCCATTCCAAAATAAGGTTCTTGTTTCAAGTACAGCATTTGCAGTGGATCCATATAATTTAATAAAGTCAGGTTATAAGATGTTCTGTTCTTTAGACTTATGGAGTCATCCTCTGGTACACAAACACCGCTTTGATCTTTTGAAACAGACCCTCGCTCCGTAAGAGAAGTAGCAAAACTTTGCTCCCTATCTATTACAGTAGTATCTTTAATTTCTTTGGTCTCACATAAATTTTGTCCTTGTAATGTCTTGACTGCTTCAATATGCAAGTAGTCATTAAGTCTGATTAATGCTTTACAAGCATCATGTATCTGAGGACTGCAATATTTTATATCATAACCTTCAGTAGGCCAAGGAACTGTAAACAATCTTGTGTTCAAGTACTTGTAAGTGCATCCTGGGTTTCCAATTAATATACGAGACACTGGAGTAAGGAAATCTTTTCCTTTGATCCTTACAAGATCTTGAAAGAAACAATCGTGTTCTCGCAAGGTCAGAAAGCCTTTTTGTACCATTTGATGGAGCTCTTCAGGTACTGTCTCAGATTTTCTGAAAATCAGCTTGGAATATTTGGTCTTCCACTAAAGAAGAAAAAGACAAAAACACCAAACAACAGAAATAGGAAGACAATTATTCTTTTTACAAGAATCAAAATAGTTCATATATTGAAAAAGAGACAAGGTTAAATTGTCAAGTTATCAAGCATGAGTCTAGAATATAGTGAAGAAACAAATGCCAGTATTTTTTAATTTATTTCCATATATCAATATATTGTACACACTGTGGATATGTACCAGTGGCCCGTAACCAGAGAGTATCAATCAATCAATCAATCAATCAATCAATCAGAGGATTCTGGCAGAAATTAGTAGAAGATATAAGCTCATCTGATGAACCTGTAGATAATGCTGCCTTTACATATACAAACAACAGGTTACCAAGCAGTGAAAAAGCAACTCTTCTTTTTGCAGTGGTTGCAAAGACCATTTTGTTTCATTCTGATGCACAGAATTCTAGAGGTCTACGTGATAAACTCAGACTGTTTGATATAACAATACTTCCTAGGGAAAACGTAAAAAAATGAAAATGTAAATTTTAAAAAAATGCACTGCATGTCTAACTTCAAAACAATCCTCTACACACCGGTCCTTTCTGTTTTCACATTCCTCAGTGCATGCCAATTAGCTCTCCTGTTTTATATAAAAGTTCTCCTTTTAGATAACAGAAAATTTACAAACTTATTTTCCTCCCCAGCTCCCTACCTGTAATATCCTTTTTCCTCATATCCTCTTCTGACCATACCAGCTCTGGTATCAGCTGGAGTTCAGAATCCAGCAGCGTGTGGAGGCAACAACTCCCAGCAAGGTATAACACTGCTAATCAGCAGCGTCTTGCTTTGTATGCACAATACTGCTTCCCACCCCAGGAAGGCTTGGATAATTTTATTTTGTTAATCTGGTTTTCTAAGGAAGCGAGTATCACATAATCACACCTTTTATTGGCTGCCTGTAAATCTGCTTTAACTACTGCTGAGACTGTTTGGCAAACTGGACAAAGGCTAGAGAGAATAAATTCTTAAAAAGAGTTCTTATGTATTTCATTAAAATTAATAGATAAATAAAAGAAATAGATGCAAACTAGTGCCTTTAGTAAGGGAAAGGCTGCAATGTGAGCATATCAAGTATCAATTAGCAAGTGTGAAGCTCCAAAGGACACCTATCTCCTTCTGTCCAGAAATTAGACTGGGGAAAAGGCAGATACCAATGGTGGTGTAGGGAAAAATGTTAAAGTAAACTAAAATCTGAAGGCATTAGGCAATGGGGCAAGAACACGTGGATGCACAAAACTGATCTATCAAAACTTTTACTAACCTAATATCTTACATTCAAAGTGCTTTAAAAAATACAAATAAAAGTCATCAGCACAAAGCACCACACTGACCTACAGTCCATCTGTGGGTTCCTTCTGGTACAACTCAAAATTACTTTACTAGTACTATCTACTTCCAAGTCTCATTCAAGACTTTCCTTTCAGGAAATTAATTTTAAAATCCAAAGAACATGCCTTTAAAAAACACAAAGCAGGCAGTAAGTCAGTATGCACATTTTCTGCTGCATGAAAACAGTTACAGTTCTGCATCATAACACACTGTTATCCTACAAAACTGAAGAGCTGGCTTTATAGAATCATTTGTTTCTAGTAAAAAGAGGAACATAAAAGGAAGCCTATTTTAAAAATAATGATTACACATAATAAATCTTAGTTTGTCTGTAACTCTTGTCACCATTTCTTGTGAAATTTTTACAGTGAAGCTAACTCCCCTTCTTTACACATTCTTACAATTTACAAAAACTAGCTTCCTGCAGAGAGGGAAAAAACCTCTAACAGTATCTACAGATAATAATAATTTCTGACAATTGTATTTACATCCTTAACTTCAAATATAAAGCTTGAAAACAGATCCAGATATCTGTCTGAAGGTCCCTCTACAATCCCCAGCACAGAACACTGGATCCCAGCTTTCATTCAAAGAACTGAATCTAAACTTGATAAAAGCAATTCACCTGAGCTTGTCAAAGGCTCAAAATGATTCCTTTAGAGGTCCTGAACTGTCCCTTTTGTTTCAATCAGTGCTGTGTATCTCCAGCCTTTGAACAGTACAGTGAAAAAATCCTTATAAACAACAACTGAAATCAGTAACTACATTTCAGACCTACACTTATAGGCTGCAGTCAGATGGATGGGTACAGGTTGATGGGAATCATAAATACCTTTTCACAATCATACTTAATAATGTCAGAACATTATATGTTGTGACATACAAAGGTTATTACTGCATTATTTCTTTCATTATGCAAATGCCATGTATAAAAGAAAGAGCACTAACAGTTCTATGACAGTATCCCAGTATTTCTTTAAATAATTCTGTACACTGGACATACTCAGATTAACCAGTTACCACATAACATATGCTACTATGGTATATTTAAACAGTCATTAATACTACGTATTTTTAAACCATTTATACAAAGATACAAAGAGACTGAATTTATGACATGAATTGCACCCATGAAATTACAAACAACTATTAGAAACAGAAGGAGGGAAATAAGAATATGATGTAAAGCAATTAAGTGCCTGAAAACACGCACTAGAAAGGAAACACACAGATTTTACAAAGCTAACAACATCGTATTCCCCCCTCTGAACTGCAGACGTAATGCCTTGCACATTTTGTTGCCAGCCAAGTCAGAGGCAGGTTACCTTTGGATTCTGTTTTAAGATCACACGATTAGAAACTACTTTATCATGAAGTTTCACACTGTACACTTAGAATTCTACCTTAAAAAGAAAAAAAACCACACCGATATCTCCAAAGAAAGCAGGAAGTGGAAACACATTTCCGACACATCACATGAAAACAGTTTGGTCTTCTTTAAATCTCCAACCAGTGACTGTGCTATGCCCCACATAAGGAAAACATTAAGGGATCAGATCCAGGGTGAATGCTGGGTTCACATAGGACACCTTGTTGTTTCGGGGGGATGGGGAAGGGGGAGTAATCGTGTCCTCTGTGTTGTAACTCTGACATCAAGTATTAAAGGTCAATTCACTGTTCACTCTGAAAGAAGTAGGTACATTGCTGGCAACTACAGGACAAAAAAAATAAAAAAGCACATTTGATGGTCAAATCTGCATTTAATGTTACACACAGGATGTTAAATATATAGATGCTTTCCCTTCTGATGGTGATACTCAACACACAGATCCACCCTATGGACACAACTGACACAATAAAGTTAGAAATCAGCAATAAGGACCCTCGATAAGAAAACTACCATATACGTCATAAAATGATAGTTTGTACTTCAAATATTTGTGAATTACCTTGTTAAAAGCCTTTTTCTTATTCCAAACTGGTGCTAAACATCACATTTTTTCAGCCTATGGCTTGGGGCCCATTTCTAAAATCCTTCATCAAGCAAGACACATTGAAAGAGGATGTCAGTGAAGTTTTGCTTATGATGGAATTTCTTACTTCTGTTCAGGCTGTGCGCTTCCACATCTGACAGGATATGGCAGTTTTTCTACTTGCAGCCTACCTAACCTTTCCAACATGTTCAAAGAATGCTGCTTTATCTGAGGTGGATCCTTAAAGGAGTAAGGCAGGTCTGTCCAGGAAAGACAGACTGTAAAACTAAAGTGTATGTGATATTTTACTTTGCAATTTGTTGTCTTCAAGCTCTCACCCTTCTTTTCCTCCCATCTGTAGTGCATTTAAGCGTCATGGAATTTGTAATTTCTACAGCTGTGATTCAAGTAACATTTCATAACCACCACAGAATTTAGAAGGTGCTTGTGATGCTTAAGATTATCATGTACACTTAAAAATACCTAGCATGCACACATATACTACATAAAAACTATAATTCTATATTTGCAGAAAGAGTGTATCTAAACTTTATTAAGGCTTGAACAGGTTACCTTGTTCCCACTGTCTTCTATATTTATGGGTTACTGATACTGAGCAAATGAGATGCCACCTGGGCAATCTTGGCTCCACCTTCTCTTTTCACATCAGCTCCATGAGAATGTGGATTTACAAAGATAGGAAAAGAAAAAGATGCTGGGCAAAGCAGCTCTTGCCAGTAACAGAGACAGAAAAAGAGAACAGGAGGGGATGTAACAGGACAAGGAAGGAGAAAAAAATCAGCTCCCTGTGTCCTAAAAGGGGGAAGAATTTCTTCATGAACTTTAGTTTAAGACTAAAAAGAATGTGTTTGGGTTTTTCGTAAATAAAAAAAAAATAATAATAAAATCCATCTGTTTAGCTCTTATAAATTTTTCCAGCTCTTCCACACTTCTACATCTTTGAGCCATATATCAATATATAGAAGACAAATAACACACCTGTAATGTAAGCATGCTTGCTGTAGCTGTTCAAACTACGAGATTACTTCTTATACTTTCTTATCACTGTCTTACAGTGATCCAATTTGATCTGATTGAACCTACCCTGTGTTTTATAGCTGATATAGAAAGATGCAAGACAGATGCAGAAAATTCTATTAATTCATCATATTTTTCCACACACTCATTTGGTTTACTACTCATGTGTCTACTGGGCCTGATCCTACTTTTGTTTGGTTTCATTTGAGGTATTCCTGTTTCCACAGTTTGTTTTTTAAGCAATGTCTCAATGGTTACTTATTGTTTGAAAGTAAAATTAAGGTATCAAATCTGAATTTCTATGTTAATATTCTTCCTCTTCTGCCAAACACAAGCTATAAAGAACAGGTCTTTTCACAGCTCAGATAAAAAAAAATTAAAGGAATGATGAGATGTGTTTTATTTCAACAAAGCATGAGAAACTCTGATTGTTACACATTACCTGGAACTCAGGGCACACCCCTAAAAATAAACTAAGTTCACCAAGTTCTCATTCATGAATATCTCAGTTCTAGAGATCTTATTTCACACCACCTGGAAGTCCATTATCAGCCATCAGGACATCTTTTTTCATATCAGATTTCACAGTGTGTCTTTGAAGAAAGATTTATTTGTTGTCTGGTCCAAAAAGTCATTTTAGTTTAAAACAAGTTAGAAGAAATACATTACCAACTGATGGAAATCATCATCGGCTGGAGTCATATATGGAAGTCTGTTCTCTCCAAGTTCTTCAAGAAGCCTTTTTTTCTGTTTTGGAGGGGTAAGATTGAAACAAAAAATTAGACAAAAACCAAGATATAAACAGAGAAGTATAAAATTAGTTGCATTAAAATGAAAAAAACTGGTGCAATTATTTCTTGTTACCACCAATTCTGGAAAATTAAATAAGGAAAAACAGATGGAAAAAAATCAGTAGAACTTCTCGACTTACAAAGCAGTAATTCAAGTTAGGTTGTTTCTCAGCACATGAGAACTTTTACTCCTAAATTCTTTTTTAGATAATCAGTCCTTATTACACTGATCAAAATCTATGTCAGTCTAACGTTCTTCAAAACTGTGCCTACTTTATAACTGGACATGAATTTCTTACTTATTTGCTGTAAGAGCAAGACCAGATGGAAATGGAATACAGTTTTTACAAGAATGGTAAGGGTGTAATACAAAGGGAAACACAGAATAAGATAGAAAAGGTATCGCTAATGCTTTAATGAAACCAAGTTATATGGAAACTACATATTTCATCACCTAAATGTTACTGCAAATGGAGTATTCCATAGACAAGAGAATTAACTGTTAAATAAAAAAATCCTTTTTCTTCTACATTTCCCTCTTCATCATCATTTTGGGTTGCATAAGTAAGTTAAAACAATCCTCTCTATTCTGGCAATCTTATTTAAAAAAGTAGTAGTAGTAGTAACTAACTCCTGGCTTACAGCAAACACATAAACAAGGAAAGCTGAACTATTAAGAGTATAACTGTACATTCTGTGACAATTAATTCCATTTATTCAAATTTAAGCATTAAGGAAGATGACAGAGGTTTAAAATCATGAGGAAGTGTACAGGTTTTGGAGGTTTACAGATCAGTACAACTACAATAAGAGTAGGTGTCTCTCACTTATCTCCACGCTCACAATGTGCTGAGCACTGACTCTTAACGAGCCCAAGAACAGCACTGACATTTCTGAACTGGCACTGTAATTTCTCTACGTCCCCAGTTTTCTTTGGGGACAGGTTGCTGGCATGTTATGGCCATGAAGCCATTGGATTAAGTTGGCAGAGAATGACATGCTGATTTGCTGCATATCCTAAAACAGTTACACTTGTCTATCACTAAAAGCTTGCCAGAATTTTATTACATGGAATCGCTGAAAACATTAGATTGGCTTTATTGCCTGTAAGATCAACCACATTAAACTGCAGGGGAAAAAAATATATTTCAACACGGACTCACATCTGTGGGAAGGGAAAAAAAAAGGTGGGAAGAAGAGAGATTCTGACAATTTCTTTGTCAAGTACCAGCCTCTTGGCAAAAAGCACACAACATTAAAATGCACTCCTGTGTATAGGTAGTACTAGTTCACATTTGATTGTCAGATCTGGCTAAGTGCCGCTCTTCAGCTTGATGTGCAGACTAATACACACAGCTGGGTGGTATAACATGCTGCTCATCTCTTATGCAAGAAGCTGTCACACAGATGTCAAAAACATCAAGCTGCTCACAAATACCTCCAAAAAGTAAAAAAAAAAAAAATAAAAAAAAAATAAAGAAAACCTGAAGATCTGGCTATACCAGCTGGCTGATGTGTAAATCTAAGTACTGTTACATAAGCACTGTTTATTGGCTCTTCAAACACATAAACCCCTAAATAAAAGTTTAAAAATTGTCTTTACTTGAAGGTATCAGGCACCTTAAAAACAATTTTTCTAAATCTGATTTTTAAATTTTAAAAAATTATTAACAGTGTAGCAGTTTATTCAGGTATCATGATCATGTTTCTTACACTTCAAAAAACAATGAGATTTTTATATATATACATTAGTGATGCCAATACATGAAAAACCATCTTATGTGCACCATCCCTATAATGTCATCATGCATCGTGCACTGCTTCAGAAACTTTGTTAACTCTGGCCTTCAAAGAGGAGTAAACCTCTACAAATTTTGTAGGCTGCTATGAGTATTACTCGAGCTATTATACCTAACTGATAACTGCAATGAAGATCAAAAGCACTAATGCCCAATTTTAGAGCGTGCAATGAACTTCTTGAAGATCTTGACAGACTCTGTTCATTTATTAGTCATAGACAGGCCTATTAATGAGATGATTGATTGTGAAATTCGTCAAGTGGAATATTAATAATTGGAATGTCTCAATCACTATAAATTTTTTTTTCCAAAGTTTTTTCACAGCAATAGAAGTGACACATTGTATGTTACAGAGCAGAAGTAACAGAAACACAGCTCAGACACATCAAAGTCACAGGCCAAAATGCAGCTACATTACAGATACATGGTTTGTTATTTTTAAATTAAGTGGCATAAGGAAAAGATGGGACTTAATGACATTTTCTGACCAAGAAGCATGACAATGTAAAAACTTTTGCAGCTGACATTTTTCCCTGTAGGGTGTCAATACCATTCTCAAAAGGTTTCATTTCTCTCTTAATTGTAAGACAGAAGTTCAATACCTAAGCTATAAAGGCTTAAGAAGACTTTACTGTTTCCAACATAAAATTCTCACTTAGTTTAATCATCAAACAAGTCAAAAGACAATACCTATTTTCCAATTTATGGATCTATGTCTTGGGTGAAACAATATAATACAAAAACTAAATTTACTGAAATCACACAAACATTAATGAAATTAGTTCTGACAACAAATTCAAGGCTGCAATGTCACAACAATTTCTAACACATAAAAACACTGAAAACATTAAGCAAAAGTGTGGTTTTTCCTCCCCCAGAACTTGGCATAAAACGCAGTGAAGAATTCATTGAAGAAACTGCTGTTGTTAACACAAGGGAGACTTAAGTCCATGCAAGTAGCAGTCACCTCTAAAAAGATAACCCAGTTTGCTGCCCTGCATTTCTCCCGAATTTTGGGAAAATGTCAGCTTCACTATACCAAGTAATATCTCTGGGCCTGGAGCAGCATCTCATATAGGTGTAAAAAGTCAGTCACAAAAGACCAAGACATGGACAGATACAGCAGTGGCTATGAAACATTTAAAGATGTTAGTTCTTAGCTATACAATAAGAATGCAGTCTGATAAGCAGTTAAAATAAATATTATATTCAAACTAGCCTTCCAAAAAATACGACTGTATCTCACTATTCTGGAAAAGTCCATTTCATTATTCCCTAAAAATGATTTTTTTTTTCCAGAAAAGATGGTCTTTTGAAACTTCTAACAGACATATTCCCAACCTCAGAGGGGATGCAAGTAACTTTTTTTTCAGTCACTGATTACTTATTTACACCTTACAATCAGCACTATGTAGAATAAAGCAAAAGATGAATCATGCTATATAAAGGATACATGAAAGAAGGCAATTCAAACAAACCCAAAATATCTGTGTTGTAACTTATTATTTTTAGATATTTATGCAGAGAAAACAGCACAAGCAGTAAAAAATTCTATATAATCATATACACTCTTCCCTGCAAAATAACTGGATTTTCTGACTCATGTCACAGTGACCTAAAGTTCCACCTAATTTTCCCTTAATTTCATCACATCAATGATTTCTGTATTATTTCCATAAAGTTAGATTGAAAATGTTCTTCATTTTTACTCTCCTCCACCCTCAGCAACCTTACAGCAAAGAGAACTAAAAGAAAGCTGAACATTTTATCCAGGTTGAATTTTACCTATCTCATGTCTAGATCTGACAAATAATCTCACTGGGGCTACAGGAGGGAACAACACACTGCTGGAGGTGAGGCTGCAAAAGGAAGGCACAGCAGCTCTGGAACATCATCTTCACTCCCAGCCTAAAACAGCTCCTCTGCCTCAACTCCTTTCATCAGAAGTTCTAAAGACATTGGCTATTTTTTCATCTTAAAAAGTTTTGCTAACTCCCTGCTGCAGTTTTTACACTTTTGAGAATACTGACCTGGGACCAAAACTAGTAAAACTTCAATTTTTTTCTTTTCGTTTTCAACGCAATTCAATGTGTTTGCAGAAATTTCTGGGGTAGATCCTAAAAAACAAAGGGCCTCTATTCAAAGCATAAGAAATTATCATCTCCATCTCCAGTACTGTTTTTCCCAACAGTCTTTTGTTTTCCAAAAGGTTATCAGGTGTAGAAAGGCACTCTGAGAATGCTTATTGTCATGAAAGAAAGATCTGAAACACAAGTACAGATACAGACCTTAGGTTTTCCAAAAATCTCTCCTTTCTATTAGCTTGTTTCCCCAGATAAGAATGAACATTAGAGCCTGTGTTTCACTTTCATTCTTTTTTCTTTTAATCAACTATAATAGAACATGGATTTCTTTCAAGTCCTGCATGAAGCAAAGGACTAGTGCTCTGAAGTGAGAGCTCAACAGCTTTATAAAGGAGGAAGATTAAATACTGTATATAGCAAAAATTTTGTGGCACAATAGTAAAACCCCATCTAGAAAAAAGTCACCACTTTACAGGAACTTCCACAACTTTACCTCCTAATAGTCTCTCACATGTTGTGTTTTTTGGTTTCTTTTTTAATAAAATAAAATTGGGATAGTTTCTTAAGGAAGGAATGTGATTTTGAAGTTAACATTTGTTTAAACTACAAGGCTTTCCAAGTGTTAGCTATTAAAACTTCATAGCTACCAAGATCATTGAAGTGGTTCACTAAAACAAGTTATGTCAGAAATGAACCTAGAGTAATAAAAAATATATTCTAAATGCACCATTACAACTTTTATTTCTCCATTATCACATATATTAGATTTCAGAATTTTTTTTCTTCAAATTATTTCTGTAAACTCCACTCATCAAAAAGATCTTAAGGAACTGGCCAATTTTACAGTACCATTTACTGACATGAAAAAGTTATATTTCCAGCTTACCCTTCATTACACTCAAGACTTACCAAAAGCCTTGTCTTGCTACATTCTTTCTATAATTCAGACTGCCAAAAATACTGGTAGACACATGATCATACTGTACCACACTTTGTTTACTATAAGATGCCCTCTCCACACCCTACTATATGTCAAAAACATTTTCATATTAAGGGTAAAAATGTACATTATT